TTTTGAGACGGAGTTTCACTCATGTTACCCAGGCTGGTGTGCAATGGTGCGATCTCGGCTCACCGCAACCTCCGCCTCCTGGGTTCAGGCAATTCTCCTGCCTCAGCCTCCTGAGTAGCTGGGATTACAGGCACGCACCACCATGCCCAGCTAATTTTTTTTGTATTTTTAGTAGAGACGGGGTTTCACCATGTTGACCAGGATGGTCTCGATCTCTTGACCTCGTGATCCACCCGCCTCGGCCTCCCAAAGTGCTGGGATTACAGGCTTGAGCCACCGCGCCCGGCCTTAGTTATTATTGTTAATCCCTTACTATGCCTAAGTAAAAAACTCCATCGCAGGAATATATGCATAGGAAAAGCACAGTATATATAGGGTTCAGTACTGTCTGCAATTTTAGGCATCCACTGGGGGTCTCAGAATGCATTCCCTGCAGATAATGGGTTACAACTGTATTATAAACTGTTCTTTAGGGTTTTTTTTTTCTATTTTATTGAGGTATAAATGACAAAATTTATATATACTAAAGGAGTGCAATGTAATGATTTATGTATATATTATGTAAAGATTACCACAATGAACTTAATTAACATATCCTTCATCACACAGTTACCCTTTGTGTGTATGTGATGAAGACACGAACTGCTTTTAATATTTTATTCACGACAAGCCTATTGAGGAGGTAGTTTTTAATTATTATGCTCTCCATTTTATAAATTAAAAACTGAGATCAAGTGGTTATCTTGTGAACAGTCATAACACCAAGTAAATAAAAGAATGAGGCTGGATATGGTGGCTCACACTTGTAATTCCAGTACTTTGAGAGGCCAAGGTAATAGCAGCTGCAGCTCCAGAGGGCTTGCTGCCATCATCATGCCGGTTGCAGCAGAAAGGCATGGATAAGGCTGCATGATGCGTGGAGCTAGCAGGAGCCCTGCCCCTTCTGAGTTGGGGCAGGAGCTCCCCTGGTGCTGCTGGAAACCTGGGCCTCCTGCTCCATGGAGCAGGCAGAAGCCCTGCCCTCCAAGGTGGTGTTGCAGCCACCCAAGTTGTAGCTGCAGATCTGAGCCTCCCTGTGCTCTTGGCAGGGACCAGGAGCAGGCAGGATCACTGCCCTCCTGAGTGCAGCTGCAGCCGCCCTCCCAGGTGCAGGACCTAAGTGTCTCTGCAGCCTGTACCAATGGGGGCCTGGGAAGGCCTGCCCCTTCCCACTTCTCTCTGCTCCCAACACCCGCTCCAATCTCGGAGTGGGGTTAGGGCAAGCCCAGGTGCTGTCACAGTCTTGGGGGTTGTGCACACGATTGGGGGAGCACCCTGCAGCCTCTGCCCCCTCCAGAATTTGGGTACAGAGAAGCATTAAGAGGGGAGGCCAAGCAGAGACAGAGAGCCCAGTGCTGGCCTGCAGGTGCACCTTGGTGTGAGCAGCCTGGGGCCATGGACTGCTGAGAGAGGCAGACAGGCTTCTGGGTGGAAAGGAGGTTCCCATAAGGCCCCATCTTCAGGTCAGGAAGGGCTTAAAGGCTAGGGGCTGGACTGCCAGTCCCGCCCACCAGATGGGGATTTGTGTGCCTTTTCCAGCAGTCCATGAACCAATCAGGGAGCACTTTCTTCACTCTGAGGTCCATAAAAGCCTCAGGCTCAGCCAGAGCAGGGCAGAAGACAGAGAGAAGATCACACAACCAGAGAGGAAAGAGGAGCTATGCTGACTGGTGAGAGCTAGGAAGTCAACGGGGACCTGCCTGCAGAGAGAAGCCACCTACTCCAGGACCTCCTCTTTGCTGAGAGCTGAATACTGGATAAGACAAACTGCCTGCAGAGAGGAGCTGCCCCCTTCTGGTCTCCTCTGAGCTGTTCTAACACTCAATAAAGCTCTTCGTCTTGCTCACCCTCCACTTGTCTGTGTAACTCAATGCAGGACAAGAACTCAGGCAAAGGCACTACTGACCACAGAGGTTTCTGGCCAGAAAAGCGACACCCTAAAGATCCCACAACAAAGGCAAGAGGACTGCTGGAGCCCAGGAGTTCTAAACCAGCTTAGGCAACACAGCAAGATCTCATCTCTACAAGTGAGCCAAGATTACGCCACTGCACTCCAGCCTGGACGACAGAGAGAGATTTCGTCTCCAAAAAAAAAAGTTTTTTTTTAATTAGCTGGGCATGGTGGTATGAATCTGCAGTCCTTACGACTCAGGAAACTGAAGTGGGAGGATTGCTTGAGCCGGGGAGTTCACCACTGCACTTCAGTCTGGGCGACAGAGCAGAGCAAAAACCTTTCTACTAAACAAATAAATGTTAAAAATAAGGCTGAGCACAGTGGTTTATGCCTGTAATCCCAGCACTTTGGGAGGCCAAGGTGGGCGGATCACCTGAGGTTAGGAGTTCAAGACCAGCCTGATCAACATGGATAAACCCCGTCTTGGCCGGGCGCGGTGGCTCAAGCCTGTAATCCCAGCACTTTGGGAGGCTGAGGCGGGTGGATCACGAGGTCAAGAGATCGAGACCATCCTGGTCAATATGGTGAAACCCCGTCTCTATTAAAACTACAAAAAATTAGCTGGGCATGGTGACGCGTGCCTGTAGTCCCAGCTACTCAGGAGGCTGAGGCAGGAGAATTGCCTGAACCCAGGAGGCGGAGGTTGCGGTGAGCCGAGATCGCGCCATTGCACTCCAGCCTGGGTAACAAGAGCGAAACTCCGTCTCCAAGAAAAAAAAAAAAAACCCCGTCTCTACTAAAAATACAAAATTAGCTGGGCATGGTGGCACATGCCTGTAATCCCAGCTACTCAGGAGGCTGAGGCAGGAGAATTGCTTGATCCTGGGAGGCAGAGGTTGCAGTCAGCTGAGATCATGCCATTGCACTCCAGCCTAGGCAACAAGAGTGAAACTCTGTCTCAAAAAAATAAAAATAAATGAAAGCATTAGGACTAGAATGCAACTGTCCTAACTCCACTATACCACACTGGTCTTGTGAAATGAATAAATTTTAAAGACAAACTCATAGCCCTGCTTGTTTCAAAGAAACAAAGTTGATTTAGAAATGCTAAGTGCAGGCCAGGCGCAGTGGCTCACACCTGTAATCCCAGCACTTTGGGAGGCCAAGGCAGACAGATCACGAGGTCAGGAGTTCGAGACCAGCCTGGCCAATATGGTGAAACCCCATAACGACTAAAAATACAAAAATTAGCCAGGCATGGTAGCATGCACCTATAGTCCCAGCTACTTGGGAGGCTGAGGCAAAAGAATCACTTGAACCCAGGAGGCAGAGGTTGCAGTCAGCTGAGATCGTGCCACAGCACTCCGGCCTGGGCGACAGAGTGAGATTTTGTTTCAATTGAAAAAAAAAAAAAGCTAAATGCAGGCCAGTCATGATAGCTCACACCTGTAATCCCAGCACTTTGGGAGGCCAAGGTGTGTGAATCATTTGAGCCCAGGAGTTTGAGATTAGCCTGAGCAACATGGTGAACCCGTCTATACAAAAAATTAGCCAAGTATGGTGGCATGTGCCTCAGCTACTCAAAGGCTGAGGTGTGAAGACTGCCTGAGCCTTGGAGATCGAGGCTGCAGTGAGCTATGATCACACCACTGTACCCCAGCCTGGGCTACAAAGCAAGACCCTATTTAAAAAAAAAAAAAAAAAAAACTAAATGCCTCAGACACTATCTTTGGCATATCAGTATATAGCCTATAACCCACAGCCTTCAAGTATATCTCTCAGTGATATGGGAAAGACAAAAGGAAACAGAAGTCTATATTATAAAATACCTAAAAAGTCACATTAGGTATATTCTATATGTTACTATTATCCTGGAGGCATCACTTACACTAGATTACTTTGTTGCTAATCCACTCAAACTACTGACAGGAACCTATTCACCAGGAGTAAGAAGATTCCTGTAGTGACCTGATAACCTATCAGTCAGATAGCCCTACAGTCTAAAGATAGGTCAGGCCAGGCGTGGTGGCTCATGCCTGTAATCTCAGCACTTTGGGAGGCCGGGGCAGGTGGATCACTTGAGGTCAGGAGTTCGAGACCAGCCTGGCCAACATGGCGAAACCCTATCTCTACTAAAATTACAAAAAATTAGCCAGGCATGGTGGTATGCGCCTGTGATCCCAGGTACTTGGGAGGCTGAGGCAGGAGAATCACATAAACCTAAGAGATGGAGGTTGCAGTGAGCCAAGATCACAACACTGTACTCTAGCCTGGGTGACACAGTGAGACTCCATCTCAAATAAATAAATAAGTAAATAAATAAATAAATAAAGGTTATCACATCTTGTTGATCTCTGTAGCCCTAGCATTTAGTAGAGTGGCTGCTACATATTAGGCATAAAATATTGTTTATTTAGGCCAGGTGTGGTGGCTCACGCCTGTAATCCTAGCACTTTGGGAGGCCAAGGTGGGTGGATCACCTAAGGTCCAGAGTTCAAGACCAGCCTGGCCATCGTGGTGAAACCCCGTCTAAAAAAAAAAAAAAAATTTTTTTTATTTAAGAATGAATTGTTGGCTGGGTACAGTGACTCATGCCTGTAATCCCAGCACTTTGGGATGCTGAGGCAGGTGGATTACCTGAGGTCCAGAGTTCAATACTAGCCTGGCCAACATGGGGAAACCCTGTCTCTAAAATATAAAAAATTACCCGGGCGTGCATGCCTATAATCCCAGCTACTCGGGAGGCTGAGGCAGGAGAATTGCTTGAACCTGGGAGGCGGAGGTTGCAGTGAGCCAATATGGCACCACTACACTCTAGCCTGGGCAACAGAGCAAGACTCCATGTCAAAAAACAAAGAATGAATTGTTAAACTAAATTTGGCCTGAGGATGCCTTTGTACTTGAGTCTTTACATACCAAGTTGCAACCTAACTTAGTCCTTAAACTAACTGAAAGCCTAATTTAGAAATATACTTTTGTATTAAAAAGGAATATGAAGAATGCAAAGATACTATTACAGGAACTTTACCTTGGCTTCTTGACCTTCCAGGGAAAACTCCATTAATTCATCTGAAATCTCTTCTGCCTGGCCTTCTCCTAGTTTTGGATTTTTATCCAATTTTGGAACAGCAGTAATAGGACTGCCCAGATATTTCATTTCACTGTCCGCCAAGTTTCCATTGTCCTATCAAGGATATTGACCACATTAAAAACTACTCGAAATATATAAAATCCTAAATGTAAGAGCTAAAACTATAAAACTCTTAGAAGAAAACATAAGGGAAAAATTTCATTACATTGGATAGGGATAATGACACCAAAAGCACAGGAAACAGAGCCACTCGTGGTGGCTCACACTTGTAATCCCAGCATTTTGGGAGGCTAAGTCAGGCAGATCACCTGAGGTTGGAAGTTTGGGACCAGCCTGACCAGCATGGAGACACCCCATCTCTACTAAAAATAAAATATTAGCTGGGTATGGTGGCTCATGCCTATAATCCCAGCTATTTGGGAGGCTGAGGCAGAATTGCTTGAACCGGGAGGGGGCGGAGGTTGCAGTGAGCCAAGATCGCGCCATTGCACACCAGACTAGGCAACAAGAGAGAAACTCTGCCTCAAAAAAAAAAAAGCACAGGAAACAAAAGAAAAAAAATAAACAAATTGGTCTTCATTGAAATGAAAAACTTTGTGCATCAAAGAACACCATTAAGAGAATGAAAAGGCAACCCACAGAATGGGAGAAAACATTTGCAAGTCATATATTTGATGATTTGATGAGGGATTAATATCAGAATATATAAAGAACTCCTGGCCGGGCGCGGTGGCTCAAGCCTGTAATCCCAGCACTTTGGGAGGCCGAGGCT